GTCCTGGGAGGTGGATTTCATTTGGGCTCATGGTGGCATTACTAAGGCTTACTCATGCATTTATGTTTGGATAACTGCAACTCTTACTCCATGGGATAGATGGAAAGTCTCAACATATCCTGTTGCCTTCAAGTCTTGACTTCAGGGTCCTCATAGTATTAACAGACTTGAAAACTGAGACTTCACGCAGTGTCTTCCCTAGGTCATTACAGGAAGACTGTGAAGTACAAAAATGAACAAAAGTAGAGAGCCTGCCTATTGAGAAAATGCATACTTTTTGGATGTACTCCATATTACCCACCACTGGAAGGAAACAGTTTTAAAAGTCACCAAACAATGTCCTAGCCCGCAGAGGTTATAGTTGGGATCTAGGGCACCAGTGATGCTTCAGAGCTCAAACCCAGCCTGGTAGAATGTGGATTACAGAGAAGTAGGAGGATAGGACATGAAATGAGTGCCCATATATTTGTTTTAAGAACTGGATGAAAAGCAAGAGAGTGAGGGAAGCAAGGTCAGATGAGTTTTCCCAAGATAAGGGAGGTCAGATTCCTTGGGTGGAGGCAGAAGGGAGGTATCAGGGGCTGAAAGACAACTTAGATTGTCTCTACAATGATTAACTTAAGGAGGATACTCTATCTTCCAATTAAACTCTATTTTGCTATGTGGCTCTGTGATAAGCTAATGTGAAGGAAACCCATATAGGCAGCATAGCCTGTGGAGAATGCCAGTGACTTTGGCTTCTGTCAAGATGACTGAGGGACTCTGGGTTCCCCTATCAGTGCTCAGGGGGCTGCTGCTCTTGCTGTGTGTTGGGCCCTGGGCTGAAGGTGGGAAGCTGCTAGTAGTGCCCATGGAGGGCAGCCACTGGCTCAGCATGAAAAAGGCTGTTCAGGATCTCCACGCGAGGGGCCACCAGGCAGTCGTTCTTGCACCCGAAGTGAATGTGCACATCAAAGAAGAGGACTTCTTCACCCTGAAAACCTATGCCTTTCCATACACCCAGGAGGAACTGGAAAACATTCTTCTGCACCACAGTTACATGGTTTTTGAACCTGAACATTTTCTGAAGACATTTTTTAAAACAATGACTCTTTTGAAAAATACGTCTGCCCTGTACCAAAGGTCCTGTGCAGAGCTTGTGCACAACAAGGCTGTGATCCAGTATCTGAATGACAGTTCTTTTGATGTGGTTTTAACTGACCCTTTTTATCCCTGTGGGACAGTGCTGGCCGAATACCTGTCAGTTCCTGCTGTGTATTTCTTGCGTGCCATTCCGTGTGAATTGGATTTTGAGGGCACACAATGTCCAAACCCATCGTCCTATATTCCTAGGCTATTAACAAGGAATTCAGACCACATGACGTTTCTTGAAAGGGTCAAGAACATGCTCTACCCTCTGGCGCTGAAGTACATC